AGCTGATAATTGTTAAAGGCACATAATAAGTACATGGGAGTTCACTATGCTATCTACTTTTGAGACAGTTTTAGGCTGGGTACAGTGGCTCATGCCTGTCATCCCAGCACTTTAGGAGGCTGAAGTGGGAGGACTGCTTGAGCCCAGGAGTTTGAGACCAGCCTGGGCAACACAGTGAGACCCATCTCTATTTTTTGAAATTAAAAAAGAGAGATAGTTTTAAAAGTTGACATTAAAAAAAGAACAAACAAACCTATGAATTTATTTCATAAATTGTTCTTCTGTGTGTTTAATTAAGCTCCACCATTATGGAGGAGAAGTTAAAGTCTTCCAACGTCCCATTTGATCTTTAGCTCTCATATATTTAAAAAAGCTGTCCACTGATTTTTTTTTCCTGCTTTTATTTCAGGTCAGTGATTATACTGGCACAATTACAATGACTTTATTTTACAAGGTGATAAGTAGTACCAGATTTTCAGATTTCACGTTTGAGGCTGTGGAAATATTGTCTCTGGACAGGAGAAATAAAATGCCAACCATGAGCCAATGGGAAATTTCTCTTGCACAATTAAAATATTGACTATGGGAATAACAGAGGGTTAGAGGAAGAGAAGATATTTTTCAGCCAAAAATCAAGGAAAGGAAGTATCAATTACACGCATCAAAACAAACTTCGAAACAAACTGCTTCATTCACAAGAAAAACTATGGGTGGGATGAGCTCAATTCTATCATCACTTCAATCATAAGAGAAACTGGTAAAGCCACCATTTTAGGCTGCTAAATGTTTAAAATAACAACAGCTTATTATTCTGCTAGGCTTCTGTTCTGTGCCAGGCTCTCTGCTAAACAATTTACACAAAGTCTCTCAGCAACTCAGTGAGGTAGGGATTACTACGGGCCTTATTTTAGAAGTGGGAACACCAAGGTACAGTGAGCCTCAGTGAATGCGCACGACCAGCCAAGAGCACAGCTGGCATCTGGGTCCAGGCGGGCTGGCTCGGGAGCTGCCTGCCTGCACAAGAGAATGGAACCCTAGGAACATGTGGTGGCCATAAACCTGCCTAGACTTAAGACCATCTCAGAGTAATCTTCTATCAACAGAATACAAACATACATTTAACTCTATCAGTTTCAGAGTTTTCCTTCAATCATCTTATAGGCCCTCAAAACGATCCTCTAAGGCGGGCTGAATAGAGGATGGTCTCTCTGTCTTAGACGTAAAAACACAGAAGCTCACACAGGTCAGAGGAGAACCGGGATCTTTTGCCTCCAAATTCAAAAGTACTGCCATGTAAAAGTACTAGATTAAACTGGGGCCCTTCCTCTTCTCTAGAAACCTCAGAGCGCTGGTGTGAAAATTAAGTGACGCTGTACATGATGTGCTCAGCGCCAGGGCCTGTGACATCTTAAATGGTCAACAATGTTAATGTCACCCAAAATGAAATGGCCAGACTGGCCCTTTATTAGGTAACAGAAAGAGGCTCCCTTTCTTCGTTGCTGAACAAGGGAAGTATCTGATGACCTCAGGAGAGAGCAGAAAGCAAGCATAAACTTCTCCAAAGCTCAAGTTCAACAAGTGAATCTGTATGGTTGGCACCACATGAAGCATCCGCTGGAAAGTTTGCTGCTGAAAAGAAGTATTTAAATGTGGGCTCTTAAAATAAATTTCGAAAGTTCAGGCTGAGTGCAGTGGCTCATGCCTGTAATCCCAGTACTTTGGGGAGGCCAAGGTGGGAGGATCACTTGAGGCCAGTAGTTCAACACCAGCCTGGACAAACATGTAAAAATAGTGAGACCCTGTCTCTACAAAAAAAATTTTTTTCATTAGCCAGGCAGAATATCCTTGCAGCCCCAGCTACTTGGGAAGCTGAAGTGGGAAGATTCCTTGAGCCCAGGAGTTCAAAGCTGCAGTGAGCCATGGCTGTGCCACGCAGTCCAGCCTGGGTGACAAAACAACGTTGCATCTCCAACAACAGCGACAACAACAACAAAAACAAAATTAAGTTCAAGAAGAGTTCAGTTCACAGAATTAGTTTTTGATTCTACAGTACACAACTGTCACGTTCATGTATAATATTCATGCGCAATGGATGTAAATACAAACACATGAACAAATAACAATAAAATGAAAAGAAAATCCTGATTTCAAAAGGCTAGTGTTCATGTTTTTTCTTTGACGTCTCCGCAGGAAAGAAATAATCAGAAAATTCAGTGTTCAAAGTAGACCAAAGGTTGCAAAGTTAAATGTGGTCCTGGTGAATAGATACTGCTATACACATGCATATTCACAAAAAGCTGGGGAGCAAAATTCACATGTTATAAATGCTTATATGTGCACACAGTATTCTAGAAGGACACACATAAAACTCCAGGCTGATTGCCTCTAGATGGGGAAACTGAATGAGAGAGAGAATTACTTTTCACTAAATACTTAGGATTTCTTGCATATAGGTATTTTTACATACATTTGAAAAAATTTAATCCTACTGCTGAAGCTAATCATTTTGCCAGGATCAGGTTTCTAGAAGAGAAAAAGAGACTACCCTTATATTTCAGGGATTAATTGGAGACGTTTCTGAAGATATCATTTTAAATGCCATAGTGAATTCCAAAAGAGACAAACTGTCACAATCAGTAGAACATCAGGTAGCTAAAAGTGGGCTCTCCTGAGCCAGATAGCCTAAGTTCAAATCCCCGTACCCCACTCACTGGCTCTGTGACCCTAGACAAGTTACCTAACCTTTTGGTGACTCAGTTTCCTCATCTATAAAATGGAAATAGTCGTAGGACTGTCACGAAAGTTAAGTATATTTGCTCATCTAGAGTAATGAAACAGTATTTGGCACACAGTAAGCATTTAATAATTGTTAGCCATCTTCATGTTTAGCGATGTTGCTCTGACAGCTAGGCTGAGTAGCAGGTAGCATGCACCATCAAACCACATTTATGGTAGAAGCTTCTTTGATAGAACAATGAAAAACCTGATCTCATTCAATTTTCTCCCAGACATGGGATGCCTGGGACCCTGAGTGGGGGTAAATAAAGGCTGATTGACTGATTTTGGCTGTCAGTAAAAGTGGAAAGCCTGGATTACTTATCCAGGTGTTGGGAACTATTTTTCCCAAGAGACAAACAGCACTTCCAGTGCTTCAAGAGACAATCACTGAAGCTTGTTAAATTCTATCAACTGCAAAATGATAATTCCATTTACTTTCTCTAATTAAATGTAACAATGAAAAGAAGAAAACTAAGAAAGAATTCCTAGAGTGACATCTTCCTAGATGAAGCCTTAACTCAAGGCAGTCTGCTGCACTAGAAATTATTATTTTTATTTTTTATTTTTTTGAGGCTTGAGAGTCAACATTGTAATTCATTTCAAGACATGCTGGAATAAGATGTTTTAGACTTTTTCCCAAAACAATAATTAAACCAGCCAGGTCCATACTAAATCTCCAGTTTACTCCCAGGAAAACAAAACAATGCTGTGGCAAAGCCGTGACCTAAACTTCGCTCCAGCTCTGCAGTTACAAAAGTCCATTCATCCCTGCCTTAGGCACCCATCTGCAAAGTGGAGATGATGATGCCTAACACTAACTCGTTACAGATGTAAATGAGAATGTGCTCAGAATTTTGAGCAACTTGGAAAAAATAAGCAATGTATTAACTGAAGATGATTTGGACTGCTCAGACGTCAACTTTTAGGGACAAAAAAACCATCTCCACCCTCCTTAGGCTCTGTGAGCCCACTCCGCCTAGAGGAGCCTTCGCTGGGGCAATCAGCCCCTGGAATCCCAGAGAGAGAGAGAAGACGAGTGAGGCACAAAACCTGTGGCAAGAAGGGCAAACATGTTTCACCTACATGACTAGTGTTACGTTTTGACCTACATATGTGACTCCAAGCAGGCCTTCAAGGTAGAGTCAGAAGGACAGGAAAGGAAAGAAAAATAGGCTAGAAAATTAGTGAGGCCTCTATTTCCTCTGTTTTTTTAAAAAGAAAAACATGGCATTTTAGCAGAAATCCTACTTGATCTAAAGTGAGCTTCACATTTCTACTCTTACATTGTCTTAAATAAAAACAAGAGAAGTACCACCACATCTCTGAAGCACAGATAGCCTTTCTGCTGAAGGCAACAGTCGGGGAGCACCAGTCTCAAATCAGATCAATTTCATACCCACCTAGAAGCTACGAAAGTGAAGACCCATAATCCTCAACTTACTTTTTTTCCATTTAGAAAACGAAAGACAACAACAGGAAAGAAAAATAAAATAAAAAAAGATGTAATTAGAGAAGGAGAGTAGGTAGAAAGAACGGAAAAGTCGGAAAAGTGAAGCTCTCTTGGCCTGAGCTTCACTGAAGGAACCGAACATGAGACCTTAGTACTCTGGGGGACTCCACCGAAATGCCTTCTTAAATTGGCTGTGATCTCTCTCCCTTCCGCTGAAAAGACAGCGAAGTCCTGAAACCTCTTCGTGGTCTGCAGATAAGATGGGGGTGGGGGAGATGGAAAGATCACTTGAAATTCTGTATCCATAAATGGTAGAGTGGTGTTCCCTGTGTACGCGATGCTTAATGGAAATGGCATGTTTTAACAAACACCGGTCGATCGTTTTGACACACAGTCCCAATTAACGGTGGATTCCACAACGTGGGATCCCAGAGACGTTAAGGCCTGTAGAGTTCGCTTTCTCAAACTTTTTCGGCGGAGCCCTCAGTGTGGTGCCCCGGGACGCCGCCGTCACCATCCAGCGTGGCTCTCCCGGGGCTGGCGCCGGGGATGGGGGCCACATCCGCCGGCGGCGCCTAGGGACCATCGCGAGAAAGAGAGAAAGAAAAGAAGAAGAGAAGGAGAAGAAGAGAAGAGAGAAGGCGGGAGGGGGAGAAGGGGAGACCCGGGGAGGGCGCGGGCGGGAGCACGCGGGCGGCGAGGCCTAGGAAGGGCCCAGCGGCGGCGGGAGGGCGCGCGGCTACTCAACCCAACCCGCGCTGCCCGGGCTTACCTTCCAGGTAACAGCTGGAGGACGAGGACAGCCCCTTCTTGGATTTGCAGCCCACCAGCTTCAGGCAGATCTCCAACATTTTCCCGCGCCGGCGACGTCGGGGGCCGGCGCCCCTCTCCCAGCCCGGTCCGCGGGCCCGGCTCAGGCCAGGCTTGGCCCGCGCGCCCCTCCCCGGGCGCCCCCGGCCCCGCCAGGCCGCCCTCACCGCCGCCCTGCGCGCCCACGCTCGCCCATGGCCGCGGCCGCGTCTCCGCCTCCGCCTCGCCGGGACGCGCCTGTTAACAAAGGGCCCGGAGAGGGCGCCCGCCAGGCCCACCCCCGCCCCGCCGCCGCCTGCGCCTTAACCCCTTCCTGGCCGCGCGCGCCCGCACCGAGGAGCCCTCGGTGTCCCCGAGGCCAAGCCCGGCCCAAAGCCGCCGCCGCTTTCCTGAGCCAAGCTCGCAGGGCGAAGGCCGCGCGCGGCCCGCCGAGGTCTTTCTTCACCTGGAAGCGCAGCCCCAGCCCTGTGGGCAGGGAGAGGGCGCAGGCCTGCTCTCCTCCACTTTAGAAGCAGCGCGCGACTCTACCGCGGCCTGGGGCGTCCCCAACCTGCACTGCTTCTAGCGAGTTTCCCCGTGCGCCGGTGTCAGGCAAACCCTCTGTCCGGAGAACGCTGGTGAAAATGCAGATTCCTCTGCAGTTACCAATACTAACTGGTCTCATTTCTACTCAGTGCGCGTGCTGTGACTAAGGCTGAGGCAGTAGGTGTCTGGGGAGAAACAGAGCTGGCACCCACAGGACAACCACACGGACGCGCGACACCCGGTCAGGCCGCACACCCAGACCAGGATGTGAGGTCAGGCTGCGAACTGGCAGGTGTGAGTTCAGAGTGAGGGGACTTAGCCTCCCCCAATGAGAATTTTCAGAGGCAGGGTCTGAGCCTCTTCCCCGATTCATTTACTTCAACAGAGAATTTTTCCCCTTCCTTTGGCCACGGGGGGAGGGTGGGGGGACCACCGTTTAAAATCCATTTCATTCAAATCTTTTTAACTCTTGTTTGGACTGACCACATACAATGTTATAAAGTAACAACAATCACAACCGTGTTACTGGCACAGACCCAGAAATCTAGGTCAGAGGGAAACAATAAGGAACCCAATGGCACCAAATAATTCAATAAAAATCAGGTAAGAGGAAAAGGAATTTATTTCATAAATGGTGTTAGGTCACAAAGTCCACATCTTCTAGCCATGAAGAGTAAGAGCTGACATGAGCTCTTCCTATGTGCCATGTTACCTTCATTATTGTACTACATCTGCACAATGACTGGACTGAGAAAACAGATTATTGCAATTCTTCAGGTTAAAACAAAACAAAACAAAACAAAAAACCCCACAGATGCTCGGAGATGTCAAGCACCTTGCCCACAGCTGGAAGCGGGGAGATGGGCTCAGCCCAGGTCTGCCCGGCTCCAGGGATCAGGCTCCTGACCAGCGGATGACGCTGCCCTTCACACCAAGGATAAATTCCAGGCAGATTAAAGAATTGGGTATCTTTGGTCCAATAACTAGCACTGTCATTACATGTTGCAGAGAAAGCCTTGGTTATGAGACCCTGGCTACTTTCTAGCCTATCGTATAATGACAAAAACCTGGGTATCTTCAATACGTCAGGAATGGCTAAGTAACAAGATCTTCACTTAGGTCTGCCAAAAACAGCACATAAAAACTCCAAATTGGACTGGATGTGACTAGTGTACATCACAGGGGTTCTCGGCCCGGATGTCATTAACTTTTCACGTGTCCTGCCAAATTCTGATCAACATAAAACATGTATTTTTACTGGGATTGAATGGACCTGCTGCTAGAGTCATGGTACCAGAGCAGGCCTCATGAGCACCCAAGAGGGCACCAGCAGGGAAGTTTGCAAATCCCATCATCTGGAGATGCAGCACTACAGGGCCACCAAGGGATGGGTGCACTGACTCTGGATGCTTTCTAGGTTCTGGGAGGCACTGTCCTTCTGCTGGACAGCTTGCATGTGGTGAATGCTGATGTGTTTAGTGTTGCCTTGACTCTTTCAACCTCTACATGTAATGCCAAAAATCACACTCAAAAGGGTGCCACCAATACAAACAAGTGAAAAAATACAATATCTGTCTGTTTTGTGGACCTTTTGGAAAGCTCAAGGGCCTTGGATCAGAATAAAGTCTGTGATTATACAGCATTTCAGATTAAAGGCTATATACAAATTGGCAGCTTAATGCCAAGAATTACACATTATTAGGCATTTTGGAAATTCTAACCATATCCTTGAATACCATCTGTTAATACAGGCCCAGATATTTGTTTGCCTTGTGCTTTACTTTATATTGGTATATAAGTTTATTTTAAAAGCTAATTATTATTACTAATATTCTGCTCTTGAGTCTAAAATGATCTTATCCTCTTAAATCCTCTTAAAATGAGTAATACTTATAAACTATACCTAAATCTTTTTAACTTTAGTTATAAAACCATACATCCACAGATCTAACAAAACACTGAATTAGTGGCAATGAATACTGAAAAAGCTGCCAAACTTGGCCAGGCATGGTGGCTCATGCCTGTAATCCCAGCACTTTGGGAATGTGAGGTGGGTGGATCACCTGAGGTCATGCATTGGAGACCAGCCTGGCCAACATGGTGAAACCCCATCTCTACTAAAAATACAAAAATTAGCTAGGAGTGGTAGCATGCATCTGTAATCCCAGCTACTTGGGAGGTTGAGGCACAAGAATCACTTGAACCTGGGAGGCTGAGGTTGCAGTGAGCTGAGATCATGCCACTGCACTCCAGCCTGGGTGGCAGAGTAGTGAGACTTTGTCTCAAAAAACAAAAAACAAACAAACAAAAAAACCCTGCCAAACCCTACACTACCATGTCAAACCTGGACAATTCTTTCCAGATCCAGCTTTTGACGCTTTTGAAACTCACTTGCAAGGCAGAAAGAGCATTCTGTTACAAGCAAATGAAGGAGAGCATCAATGTTTTTTTTTTTTTTTTAAGCTTCAATCTTCTTAACAGAAGAACAGCCCAAGAAGGATTCCTTCTAATCAGCCTAAGACCTAAAAGCCATTAGCTAAAAAGATTTTTTAAAAAGAAAGTAAAGGAAAAGTAAAGAAATTAAAGACTGTGAACTAACTTGTTTGCTATGTTGCATTAGTTTGGGAAGCAATGCACTTTTAATGTGCATGTAATCTGTGCCACACACTCAAACCTCACAGCAATCTAATTATTTTGTATAGTTTAATTCCATTTCACAGGTGAGAAACTGACTGGAGGGAGAGGGGGAAATATCCTGTCCAAGTTCGCACCGCCAGGAGGTAGTAAGGTAGGAAGGCCTTGAACTTTCTAAAAAGGCAGAAAATTTCCAATTTAAATGAAAGGTGGATAATATGAGTAAGACCAGAAGATGAAATAAATTTCATTAACTGTTAGGAAAACATGTCTTAGGAGAAAATAATTGAGGGAATTAGAGCTATTTAAGAATATTTTTAAATATATTAAGAATATTAAGAAGGAAAGGATAAAATCTCCAATTATATTAACGCATGGGATCTGAGCAGTGTTTCTAAAAGTATAATCCATGGACAATCTATTTTGAATAACGTGGGATTTGCTTAAAATTCAGAGCCTTGGTCTCTATTCTAGAATCAGAATATGTGCAATGGGCTGGATCTGAAGCTCCCAGATAATCTGTATGCATATGTAAGATAGAAATCCATTGTTCTGGAGCCGGGTGCAGTGGCTTATGTCTGTAATCAAAGCACTTTGTGGGGCCGAGGTGGGCGGATCACCAGAGGTCAGGAGTTCAAGACCAGCCTGGCCAATACGGGGAAATCCCGTCTCTATTAAAAACACAAAAATTAGCCAGGCATGGTGGTGCACACCTGTAATCCCAGCTACTTGGGAGGCTGAGGCAGGAGAATCGCCTGAACCCAGAGGTGGAGGGTGCAGTGAGCCAAGATCGCGCCACTGCACTCCAGCCTGGGCAACAGATCAAGACTCCTTTCCAAAAAAAAAAAAAGGAGAAGAAAAAGAAAAAAGAAAAATTCACTGTTTTGGAAGAGGAAAGAGTTGCTTCTTGTTTTCACTGGGAATAGAACAAACAGGAATGGATATTTCTAAAATTTGAAAACAAATTTCTGAATTTAAGATATGCGCAACTCTAGAACAAGTTACCAAAAGAAGGCTCTTCTTGGATGATTAGAGGAGAGAGGCTGATTTTTTTTTTTTTTTTTAAATTAAGAAAAAGTTGGGCAGTACCCACCACAGAAGTGGGTCAAGGGAAGAAGGCAGGATTCAGGGTGTGGACACTCCACCTCCCAGCAGCAAGACTGGGTGTGAGTGCAGGTGGAACAGAGACAGATGAACCTGACACGAGGCCTGGCTTGGGACCCCAGGAGCAGATGACCCCGGGTCTGGCTGACCCCTTCAGTGTTTCTAGCCCAGCCAGTAGCTTTAGGGGGAACAGCAAAGATCTTGAGGTGTGTACATACTATTTCACACGCAGATACCACAAAGCCCACTTCCCTGATCCAGCAAACATTGTCCAGTGAGCCTGCCAGGTCCTCTAGCTCTGTGGGTTCAGTGTCTGTCCAACTAAAGGATAAGATAGCTTAAAAGGTCATTTCCATCATATCAATTTTTGCCACTGTATGGAGACACGTATGTCCCTTTAAGTCTCAGAATTTTTCAGTCGGGTAGGACTACCTGCTGGTCACGAGTTACGTGTCACAAAGGCTAGTGCTGAGTCTCAGATCTACCACTCACCGTGGTGCCATGAGCAAGGACTTCACCTCTCAGAGCCTCAATTCTCTCATCTGAAAAAATGGGAGGTGGTCACAAGAGCAGTTATCTCACAGGGTTATGATGGAGATCGGTAGCAATGCACGGAGACTGCCCAAAGCACAGAAGGTGCTCAATAAACAGCAGCTATTGTTATTTCCAAAAGAAGACTATTCCTGCATCAGGTCCGTGTTCCTGCCTACATCTTTCTGGGACTCAGTCAAGGGCTCAAATTAGCAAACATGCTATGTGAAAATGATTCCAGAAAGCACAGTCTGGAGGTTTTCCAAGGGACAAGGAACTCTATTTTATGAAGAAAGAAACACTAGCCGTGAGGTAGGAGCAGCAACTAAGGTTCAAATGTCACAGGAGAGCCCTACCTTTAATCCTAAAATAAAGGTTTGCAACCACAGCTTCAGCAAAACACAAACTCCACACGCCCAAAGCTTGAATGAGGGCCTAATTCAGACCCCAGATTTCGTGCACAGGCTGCACATATGACTATCCTTCAAATGACACTGATTTTTCTGTTAGTTCTCTTGGTATTTCCAGGCCATAATTCTCAGCTGGGGACCAAATCTGAACTGCCTTGGAGTAAATCCGCTTTCTAGAAAATCTCATTACAGTAAGACTTCCCTATATTTTTATAATTAACAAGTCTAAACCTAACTGTTAAACATTATTCTCTAGAAGGAGAAAACTAACAGTATTAGTATGCTCATTCTTTAAAATTAATTTTTCTTTTTAATCAAAGTAATATACATAACATGGTTAAAACGCAAACAGTACTTAAAGTCTTGTAAAAAGGCTAAAAATAGTCTTGTAAAAATCTGGTAATAAAAAACTGCAATCCCATTCCCTTGTCTGTTTCCCAAGAGACAGCCTCCTTCAGATTTTTAGCTAATAACATCATCTTGCTGTTTCTGAATTCATTAGCTTTATCCATTATCTATTAACTTATGACAGCAGTATTAGACTATCACATCCATAACCCCCCAAAATAATAAAATCACAATTTGAAGGATAAATCAATAGTCAGTGTTTACATTACTAGGCTGATATAAATATTGTTCGCTGCTTAGCCAATAATATACTATGAATGTTTCCTTTATTATACAACTTTGTTTATCCTAAAGATATTGTCTTCTTTTCATTTAATTAATCTCTTTATTTATTTATTTTTTGAGACGGAGTCTCACTCTGTCACCCAGGCTGGAGTGCAGTGGGATGATCTTGGCTTACTGCAACCTCGGCCTCCTGGGTTCAAGCGATTCCCCTGCCTTAGCCTCCTGAGCAGCTGGGACTACAGGTGTGCGCCACCAAGCCCATCTAATTTTTTTATATTTTTCATAGAGACAGGGTTTCACCATATATATTGGCCAGGCTGGTCTTGAACTCCTGACTTCGTGATCCACCCACCTTGGCCTCCCAAAGTGCTGGGATTAGAGGTGTGAGCCACTGCTCCTGGCCGATACTCTTCTATATACCTACTACTAATTTCGCTTAAATACTTCAAAGATCTTTCAAACACCTAGTGATATTTTTTCCAATCACTAAAACATTTCAAATATTCTCAGTTCTATTTATTGACTGACTTCTTCGTTTTACTGGAATTCATCATCCAGTAGCTTCACAGAGGTGAGGTGGGAGGGTGCGTGTCTAAAAAAAATACCTTTCTTCTACCCTGACAGTTTGTCTGAGTATAGAATTCTAGGTTGAAAATTTTCCCAAATGAATTTTGAAGGCATTTATCTACTACTATCTAGTTTCCAGTAAGTATTATTTAGAGATGCAATCCCATTCTGGTTCCTGACCCCTTAAAATGACTTGCTTTTTTCTCTTTGGAAGCTTTTAGGATCTTCTGACATTCTTGGTGTTCTGAACTTTCACAATGATACGAGTCTCTTTCATATATCATTCTGGGCACTTATAAATTCAGAGATTTATGTTATTCAGCTTTGGAAAATACTCACTTCACTAAACTCTGAATTTTTTCCTTACATTTAACTTCTCTTCTCCTCCATTTGTTTCTTTATTATTATCATTATTTTTTTTCAGTTCTCTTTCTGGAATTCCTACAAAAAGGATATTAAAGCCCTGGAATTGAGTTTCTAATTTTCTTTTCTTTTTTTTTTGAGACAGTTTCGCTCTTGTTGCCCAGGCTGGAGTCCAATGGCATGGTCTTGACTCATTGCAACTTCTACCTTTTGGGTTCAAGTGATTGTCCTGTCTTGGCCTCCCAAGAGTTTCTAATTTTCTTCCCTGTTCTCTCTTATAGTTCTCTCAATAGTCCATGTCTTTATGTTCTATTAGGTTAGTGCAAAAGTAATCACAGCTTTTGTCATTAGAATGGCAAAAGCCCCAATTACTTTTGTACCAACCCAATACACTCTGAGACAATTTTCCACATCCTCTGTTGAATTTTAAATTTTAATTAATGTTTTTAATATTAAACAATTCATTCTTGCTGGGTGCGGTGGCTCACGACTGGAATCCCAGCACTTTGGGAGGCCAAGGTGAGTGGATCATGAGGTCAGGAGATTGAGACCATCCTGGCCAACATGGTGAAACTCCATCTCTACTAAAATACAAAATATTAGCTGGGCGTGGTGGCGCAGGCCTGTAGTCCTGGCTACTCAAGAGGCTAAGACAAGAATCACTCGAACCCTGGAGGCGGAGTTTGCAGTGAGCGGAGATTGCACCATTGCACTCCAGCCTGACAACAGAGCAAGACTCTGTCTCAAAAAAAAATCTGTTCTTGCCCACTCCACTGTTTTCAGTCATTGGCTTACCTGGACCCACCAAG